GCATCAACAGAAATCTTTGTTACCTTCAATAGACTTTGAATCAGGCCCACCTTTTTCTCCATTCTCAAATGCCATCAAAGAGGACTACAGGAGGTTTTTGGTTTGTTTGGTTTTTTTAAGTGACCATGCCCATTGACTTTATGGGATTAAACAAAAAAAGAAATACATCTACCTGGTATTTAGCATCTGCTTCTTTCCCAAATCCAAGGAAGGACTTTGTGCCTGAAAGCCCGTCTGACATTTCTTCCCAGCTAGACAGTCCAATCAATTTACCTCCAAATCTTGTTCTTTCATCAAAGAGGCTATCACAAGCGTAGACACAGTGCAAGCATCTATGAACAGAGATGAGAGAAATGCAAGATCTTCTGCTCCCAACCAGTGGAGCAAGAGGTATTGAAATACCCTAACCCTTGAATGAAAGCTTTTACATTGTGTTCATTTATGTAACAATGTTAAGACCAAAGACTTCAGTTTATTTGACCTTTACTTAAAGAGCAGCTTCAACCAAGCAACCAGGATTTCCTGCTCCATTGGGAGGCCATTCAAAATATTTTCCCTTGAACACTGCTGTTATAAAAGCTGCATGACTGTTTCCATTGTAACTCTGTTTCTTATCGCTCATTTTTTCTTTCAATCTTTTTTACCCTTTCAGGCTGAAATTACCAAGCTTAGTTTCTTGACCAAAAGTGATTTTTGATTCTATTAATCTGAACAGAAACAATCCTATCTGCACTAAAGTGTATTCCCCTCTCATTATATAAACACAATTCTTGCAAATTTAATGAAAAATAACTCCAGGGCGAAAACAGCAGAAGGCAGGAAGTAGGAATACTGTTTGAGCATAGTCTTTACTGAGGTTCATTCACCATCACATACAAACAATATCTTAATAGGAATCTGATATTTAATGGAGGGGAGCTTGGGAGATGCCATTGAGGTTTTTGGTTCTGGTTTGAACAAATTACAGCTTTGACAGTCATGCTGTGCATGTACTCTTTTGCTAAGTTTGCAAACAACACTGCTGAAAAGAAGCTGTCCTTTGTCCATGTAAATGTAGCGAGGGGCAAAAGGTTTAGCAAGGGCTGCTGTATGTCTTATGAGCTGCTCGGAAGCTGACCCAAGGCAACCAGGAGGAGACCTGGGCACTTCCTGAAGCTTATGGGAGAGAAACCTGCTCTGGCCAAGGAGTGAAACAAATAGGAAATTCCATTCACATCGCCTCTCACTCAAAAGGCAGGAAAGGTATGGCTTATGGTGAACATTGGACTCACAAACCTAATTTAATATGTGGATCTCAACCTGTGAGATGGTTCTGTATCCCCATACGGGACAGGGCTTGGACCTTGCCCCCAAAAGTGTAAAACGTGCAGGCTCCTCTTTACCAAACAAACTTATATAACATATTTGAGCTCTGACTTGTTCCCAATTTGCAGCAAATGAAGAAAACCCTAAATACAGTATATCGCTACCCATATCATTTGAATACATCCTGTTTCCATGACAACCACTGCTTAACAGCTTGGCTGATATGAAATCTTTCCTAGATAGGGGAGTTTTTGCCAAATCATTGGAGTTCAGCCTTTTAATATGAAATGTTAAGCCTTCAAAAAATATTTCATTTCACCTTTAGAAATAAATATTGTGAGTTAAGGGAAGCTTGTGTTTTTTTATTCTCACCTTGGCTTTGGCCTTTGGGTAGCTTGCTTGTTACTCTTCCCGCTTACCGCAAGCGAACCTTTTATTCCTCACAATGCTTCTCAACTCGCAGCTCTGTCACAGTCAATGATTCAGTAGTGACTGTAACATAAGGGTTTGATACAGAAATTAGCTTTCATGGCTGCTGGCCCATTCTGTGAGCCTTCAGGACACCCGAATCAGCTGTTGTTAGCAGTGAGCGAGAGGATCCTCTGAATTTGGGGCCTGATCCCATGCTTGTGGAAGTCAACAGAAGTCTCTCTTGGCTTTGGACCAGGCCAACGGTGAAAGTACTGAAGACAGAAGTGGCATTTTTCCCAGTCATTTCAAGCCACTCACTTGTCACTCAGATGTTTAAAAAAAAATCTCATATAGAAGTTTTCTGAAGTGTCCAATCTGTTATCTGTGGACTATGCCTGTGGTCTATGATGCACTTTCCCATGATCCAAAGAGAGATGACTACCCCTGCGGTGCTGCTCTCTTCCTTGCTTCTGGTGGATAAATTCCATTAAAACAAAGCTAAATATACATGACATGCTTTCTTGATATTGCCTCCCCATGCGTGCAATTAATGGAGTTGCCACAGTGATATTATACATTAGCAAACTGGAACGGTGAGGGGAGCAGGTAGTCAAAAATGGGGCTGGTAGAGGAGTCCACAGAGCAATCTCTGTTTTAAGAGGTGGTCTGAATAGGTTGGAGAACCCCTGTTTTAAGCCACGACCACCCAAATGGATTCTTTAAAAACTGCATCCCAAAGCAATGGAAGAGGAGGGAGATTACACTAAACCAGTGGTTTGCAACCTTCTTAAACTCACTGCACCCCTTGGAAAATGCCAGCTGTGCTTTCACTTGATTTTTCTGCCTATGGAAAAATAATAGAGCAATTCTTCTGCTGCCAAGAACTCAGAAAGCCCACAACAGGGCACTGTGGATTCATATTTGAAATCTCTGTGTTTGGCTTCCAAATGATGAGTAGGTCTTTGCACACCTAGCAGTGATAGTATTTTGTGCCATCCCCTCAAAGGACCTTGCTGCACCCCAGTGTGGCATCCAGGTTCGGATCCCTGATTTGAACCACCCAGCGGCGGTCCCAAGATCCCCAATATCTCACACGGAGAAAGTCTAAACTCTTGTTAATAACCCTGGACAAATGTTTAGTTTAAGCATTTTATTTCAGAACCCTTAGATGAAGGTGAATCTCTTGGCAGGGAATACCAGATCTGGTTTTTATTTGGACTTGCAAGACCCCTGCTGGTGCAAGAGGAAGAGGCCTATCAATAAGGGATGCCCTAATTCAGTGTATTTCTCGGCTGCCCTCCCTTTGCAGCCAGATTCAGCATCTTTTACAAGAGATTCCCTGCATTGTATCCTCTCTCTTCCACCATGGATGTTGGACTCCCATTTCTATTGGCGTAAACAAGGGATGAATTTAGGCCGTACCCTTCGTTTTGGAATAACGACTCAGACTCTATATAACCCACTTCTCAGTATCCTGGGTTGTAGTGTGTGGTGCTTCTTTTTTTCTGTAGCAGTACTGTGCAGGTTGTGATAGTGGCCATTTTAATGTTAATTAATAACAAGTTACATCTTTGCTAGCTCAGTGGTGATGGAATATGAAGCTTTTTACTGTGAAGCACCTGTCCAGGTTGGTGGCAGTCTTGTTTATCGCCCCCCGCCTGATGGCCCAGTGTATCAGAAAACCATCATCCTCACCAGCGATCTTAGCAGGAGAATCAAAATTCAGTAGCCACAGAGACTGAACTACAAGATATGCTCTTTTCATAAGGTCGTAAGATACAAAGAGTCATAGAAAACGAGGGTGGGAAGCGACCTCAGGAGGTCACATCTAGTCCAACCTCCAGCTCAAAGCAGGACCATCCCCAGCTACATCATCCCAGCCAGGGCTTTGTCGAGCTGAGCCTTAAAAACTTCCAAGGATGGAGACTCCACCACCTCGCTAGGTAACTCGTTCCAGTGCTTCACCACCCTCCTAATGAGAGAGTTTTTCTGAATATCCAACTTACACCTCCCTTGATGCAACTTGAGATCATTGCTTACACCTCCCTTGATGCAACTTCAGACCATCATCTTCGTTGGGTCCCTGGCCCTTCTTGTAGCCCCAACTCTTTGGGAGAATAAGCCTCCCCCTCCCCAGACTTTATTTTGCCTGGATACAACCCCATATGAAGGCAGTTTTGCAAGAGCAAAAATTTTGGTGCCACCAAAATAAGAGTGATGCTCGGAGATGGGTAGAAGAACCCAAACAAGGCCGAGCGGTTGCTATCTTCTGTCACCCAAGTGCTCATTCAAATGCAAGGAAGGATGCTACTTGTTCTCCAGACCTTACTCAATCCAGCAAAGCTGTGAGCGGGTTCCCTTGTCCCCCAGATAACCATTTGCTGTTGTTGCTCACTTGTTCCTTCCTTGCCAAGGTCTGTCCTGCTTTGTGACCGCTGATCTGTGCCTCCCTGCGTCCCTTTCCTTAAAATGTGGGTTTTTGCTTCTCTTTTAGTGGGGAATGATGCAGCTGAAGCCCTAAGGCAGCGGTTCCCCAACTGACAGATTGCGCACCACCAACTTAAAATGATGCAACCTTCACTGAACGATACAACTGTAACTTAAGGAAATAAGATACAACCACCAGTCCTTAAGATACTTAAGAAAAAAGATACAACCACCCCTCCTTAAAGAAATAAAATGAAGTTTATTTCCTACACACGGGGACTTTTGACCATCTTGAACTTTTCCCGGAGCCTGATGAAGGGTGCATGAGCCCAACATCTTGTAGAAAAAGATCATTTTTATTTTTTTATTTGTTGTTGCAGTTTCTCAGTTGATGTAATGAAAGGCATCGCCTCTGAACCATCCCTTCCAGCTAAATGTTTGCATTTCTTTACAGAAAATTTTTCAGCTCGACCTCAAGTACCGCCAGCGTAAAGTCCCGTGGTGATCCATGGGGTAACCGGTGCCACTGACAGCCCAACCCTTGCTCTGGGGTTTCTTTTCCCCAAGGAGTGGGGTGGGATGCCTGGCTGGTGGCTGTGAGATTGCAGGATGGATGGGAGGAGGGGGGAGACCCTCGCTTCGAAGTTGGCACCAGCTGCAAAAAGGCTCCCCCTTGTTTAGGCTCCAGGTGTGCGGGGCGGGGCGGTGGGTGGGGGGGATGCCGGGGGCGCCGGCTGCGGGGCTCGCCCGTGCCCTCTGCCGCCCGGCCCGGGGCTTGCAGCGGGCGGAGGCGCTGACTC